AACAAAATGAAAGCAAATCGATATTAAAGTGTGCAGTTCCTATCATAATGAAAACTCATTTTGATTTCAAATGTTGCGATATAAGTCTGATATCATATTGTGCTTTCATTATGCAGTCAAGACTTTTTAAATGAAAGCAACTTAACTTGAAGTTCTGCTGTTTACGTCTTGTTTAAAATATAATTGAAATTCATGTTTCGTTGAACTAATGATTATTGTGATGAAGTAATGAAATTGGGTTGTTAGCGGAATGCTAAATAAAACAGCAAAAAAGGTTATCTTCCATTTAATTCCACTTAATTAATTTTGGTATCCATGACAGATACGTATTTCGACTACAATGTGCAGTCTTCATCAGTGTCATTCCCACTAAAGAACTTATCAAAATCTAACCCCCTTAAGTACTCATCCCCTAGGTAAATATGATCTTGACTTTTTTACCTAGGGGATGAGTACTTAAGGGGGTTAGATTTTGATAAGTTCTTTAGTGGGAATGACACTGATGAAGACTGCACATTGTAGTCGAAATACGTATCTGTCATGGATACCAAAATTAATTAAGTGGAATTAAATGATTTGCGATTTTGCTGTTTTATTTAGCATTCCGCTAACAACCCAATTTCATTACTTCATTATGATGGCTACCAAGCCTTTGGGGATTTTCCTTATTAGAGAGTTGTATAGATTTTTCTCCTTTAGCTTACTTAAATCTTTGGTTTTTATTAGTTAGGTAGGTTCCGATTCAACACATTGTAGTTTCATTTTTATACCTATGATCTTGACTTTTTTACCTAGGGGATGAGTACTTAAGGGGGTTAGATTTTGATAAGTTCTTTAGTGGGAATGACACTGATGAAGACTGCACATTGTAGTCGAAATACGTATCTGTCATGGATACCAAAATTAATTAAGTGGAATTAAATGGAAGATAACCTTTTTTGCTGTTTTATTTAGCATTCCGCTAACAACCCAATTTCATTACTTCATTATGATGGCTACCAAGCCTTTGGGGATTTTCCTTATTAGAGAGTTGTATAGATTTTTCTCCTTTAGCTTACTTAAATCTTTGGTTTTTATTAGTTAGGTAGGTTCCGATTCAACACATTGTAGTTTCATTTTTATACCTATGATCTTGACTTTTTTACCTAGGGGATGAGTACTTAAGGGGGTTAGATTTTGATAAGTTCTTTAGTGGGAATGACACTGATGAAGACTGCACATTGTAGTCGAAATACCCACTGCCTTCTTCAACAAACCGCATGGAATTGAATTTAGAGTGAATTCATATGCATTCACTTCATGCATTAAATCTTGAATATATTCCAACGATCATGAAAAAAAAGTCCATGCCTCGCAAGATTGTCACTGGTTGGTGGTTGAGACGGAACTCGTTTACCTCATTGATACTCATTTCATCTAATACAGTGCCACAATCAAGTTCCATCGAACTAATTACGGCTTAAGAATTTCTAATACCTCGTGTAGAAAACCTTCGGTGTTCGCTGAAGAATTATTATCTTTAAAGGAAAAAAATCTCAGGATTCGACAGGATATTGACGTTTCCTGAGCATAAAAGCACAAGCTGTGGCTTTCAGAGATTTTCGTTTCAAAACCCATGATAATGATAATGAGAAACTATACATTTTTTAGTTGCGTGTATGCAAAGGATGTTACGATCAAAAGTTGATCAAACAAGAATGCATGTAAATTGACCTGTTTTTTTTTTATAAAAACATTAAATTATTTTTCTTTTATAAGTTTAATTAGTAAAAAATAAAACAAAAATCAGCTGAGCTTCCGGTTGACCGAATCCTAATTGCCCTTTCGTTTAACTCCTGCCATCCGATTATGTACAGCCACATCGTCCACTTTGATCGCCACAGAACGTCATTTTGACATAAACGATGGACCAATATTTTTTAGATTGGGTGGAGCTTTGGCGTGTTGGAAGGGCTCTTGTTCTGCACGTTGTTGGTGGCATACCACTCCATGTCGTGTTTTTCCAAAATGGCAGGATGTCAAAATCAGCCAAAACGTCACGGAACAACCGTGTTGCTTCAGAAAAGGCAGCAAAAGTTTTTCCAGACACCCCAACTGTTTTCCCTTTGAAACGGTCCAACAATCTGGCACCGCTGTAGATTCCACCTGCCATTCATTCGCCACAAAGAACATTAAGAATCGCGATTTGCTTCATTTTCTCTTGGCACAGTTTGATTCGAAGATATTCCATCGAAACCAAACCACTAACATAATCGCAGCCCTACAGCTCTTTTTGCTAATTGCTTCCCCATTTCACACGCATGATAGCAGTCGTCCCGCACAACGAGTCCTCAGCCAGTCAGCGAACGCCATTCTTTTTTTTCCTTGATTTTTTTTCCGTCGATCTTGTTTTCCGTGCTGAGCACCAATGCTACCGACGTCAGGGATGCAGCTCCCACACCTGGACCCTACCTATCCACCCATCAGCTCATGAACCGGGGACCAACGGCTTTACTTCCCTTCCGAACCAAGGCGTGATCATCCCGGCGGCGCCGACTGGGATTGAACGCAGGCCTGCTGGGGTGAGAGGTAATCACGCTTTTTCGCTATTCCTTCCTTACAATATGGTCTTGGTCACCCAAACAACTTTTCCAAAGACAGTAACTTCTTTAACCGTCAGGATATAAACATATTTCATTAACACGAAGTTCATATAAACACTAGCGCTCCGTAGTGAGAAAATTCTGAACTGATCTGCCCTACATTTGGAAGGCCTTGATCAACTGAACCACTATGCCCAAGGCGGTTAACATATATATGGTCAGGTTCACGAGATATCCCGTGCTTGAAGTATCACAAACATGTACCACTTTAACTTTCAACGATTTCTGGTTTACAGTAACATTTTGGGCACAGTAAAAGCAACAATCAATACGAAACTACACAGCAAAAAAATAATTTTGATATCACGTCAAAGTGGATGCACTACAATCATGTCGAAAATATGGTGTAATATTACTTGCTAAAAAGGACAAAATTATCATTAATACAATGCATGAACTGACATTACGCTGCTTTTACTGTATTTGTTTATTTATGTGGTCATAAAAATTACATGAAATTTTCGACATGATTGTAGTGCATCCACTTTGATGTGATATCAAAATTATTTTTTTGCTGTGTAACGATTTTAAATTTGCTCACTACTTGACTATCCTATTGGTCCCAAGCAAATCGATTAACGTACTCCATTCTAGTATAAATTCCAGTACTACACTATGTTTGTTTTGATTCGCTATGAAAGTTTGACAGATAAAATGAGGGGTTCGTTGATTTTCCTATGTTTCGAGGGGTGCATTGATTAGCTTGGGACCGAAGATAGTACCAGAACTGAGCCAAAAAGTTGAGCTCGTTTCTTCGGGACCTTCTGGTCCTAGAGTTACCTCTATGGTGAAAGTAAACAAAATAGCGAGTATCAAATTTCATTATTTTTTTGTGAAATCACATTTGCATCACATTGGTGCAATTTAGTTGAGGAAATTTGTTGAACAGAATTTATTATTCGAGTACATGTTCCAAATAATTGCGTCTCCTGTAAAATTTACTCAAGTGAATATGTACCAGTTTATCACGAAACGGTTCATTTGTGCCGGCCTTATTGTTATAGTGCATTAATCTTTTAAATTTGTCGTACCTCTTAACAGAATCCCTTTATGAAGAGCTTTGAGTGTGTTGGTTTATTTCCTTTTAATTCTGTTATAATTGCTTATCTTTTGACAGATACGCGTATTTAGTCTACTACTTGCAGACTTCATCAGTGCCAAGTTTTTTCAGTGGTGTTGAGTACTTGGCACTGATGAAGTCTGCAAGTAGTAGACGAAATACGCGTATATGTCAATATATAAACAATTATAACGGAATTAAAAGGACGTAAACCAACACACTCAAAGCTCTTCATATAGTTTATTCCTTATTTTAACAATACTGTCGTCGATTCATGGATGATTTCAAAATTGTTGGCTTATTAACTTATTTCATGTAGTGAACTAATCGACCTCTTCGCATTGGGTCTAATGACCCATAATATAAAAAAAAATACATTTTACTCCGCTCTATTTAAAACCCTGATTACGCTTCTGAACAAATGTTTTTTTCGATCAGGAATTGGGAAATAGAGTATTGTATCGTTGACTTTCAACCGCAAATACGCAAATACGGGCGACGTCAAATGTATCAATAAAAGCCAAAACGATACACGATTTATACTTTCCCACAAATACAGGACAGCCCTTTAATGCACATGAGTAATCATAGCTTATAATCACAGGACCTTAACTAGCCTAGCTCCACAATGCAGGGGCGGTGGGATCGATTCTCGGTTTGGTCAATAATCTTTCTTTTTTGCATGGGAATTATTCACAATTTGCCTGGATGTAGAGAACACTAAGTTGAGGGTAGATTCTATGTTCCACCTGGGACGTCACAGCCACGAAGAGAAAGAAGAATTACAATCGTAAATGTTTGCGACATATTATGAATATTTGATGCTCATATAGGGTGCCAGTCACAATTTTCAACCTTTAAGTGCTTTTTGTAATAAGTGACTGCCCTTTTCTTGTTTTTCTTGTTAAGTATTTCGTGTCGTTCCACAGAGTTATGTTCACTTTGTACTTGTTATGGTTCACCCTATATGTATGGTAAGCCAGGCTCGATCACGGCAGACATGATAAATGGTATTGAACTTTAGTGGAGGTGTCTTTAGGGTGGCATGGCGAAGGAGTAGTACTCACGTAAAATGAATTGTCAATATACAGAACTATTTCTCGCTACTATGTTTTATATCAGTGCAGGACTATGGGTGGCGTTCGTATAGATGTTGAATGCGATAAGCAAAAATCGTTCGATATTTCATGCATTGCCGATGGTCTGGAGCATGGTAAATGCAATAATATCCAATTGGATTCATTCTCAGTCATCTGTTCGTGTTGAAATGTGGTCTAACATTCCACTATCAACGTACAATGTCTGAATCCCAAACCGTGTCCTGGAGGAATGCCGACTATTTCGATGACGTCATTGCTGCAGATTTGAAAATGGCTGTGAATGATTTCAAAATTGCTGGCCTACACATTTCGACGGCAGTTCCAAAATCAGCAGGATTTGTGTCGGTCGTTCACAGAGTCTTACTGCAGGTAAAGTTCGGCGGCCTAAATTCTGGAAAGCAGGTGAGTTACATCATCAAAGAGAAATCCGATCCGGGTGAAGGTGGCGAGGTGGTGGCAGAGAAAATCAGCACGTATTTGAAGGAAACCGAGTTTTATAGCACGATTCTACCTGTATTTGAGAAATTTTGGGAAAATGAGAGCCTGAAATTTGGACCAAGGTGAGATGTAGGTTTAAGCTTATTTTGGAAACATAGTTGACTGTAATTTTCTTCAGGATGCTCAAAACCACCACAGCGCCATTCAAGATAATCGTTATGGAAGATCTAAAATCGTCTGGATTCCAGGCAAAAAAATGTGACGTTGGGCTTTTGCTGCCTGATTGCGAGAAAGTATTGGAAAAGTTGGCTAAATTTCATGCTGCCTCTGTTTTGTACTATGAAAGAGTGAGTAAATGTATATTTTCTAAAATTGTGGAGATTTTAAAATCCAGTGTTTTTGTAGAAGGGGTCTTACTCGGAACAATTTAAGACCGGCCCATTGAGTGAAAGATTGACGAAACCGTTTGAAATCTACTACACACCGCTTTTTGACTCATTTCTTCAAATACTGGAAGAGTTGAAGTACCATCCTAAAGTTTTGGAATCTCTTGTAAGTATAAGCATTTCCAGCCCAAAACGCACAAAAAATATCATTTTCGCTCGAACCCTTCCGATTTGAATGGAACTTTGGTTATAATAATATGATGTTTACAACCCATGGTTTGATTTTTCATTTAAATATAATTATTTTTCTCACGAGTATGTTTTTAAAATGTCGTATGTAAAAATGGATTTAATTTTTTTCAAAATGATTTATCAGATCAAAATTACATCTGAGAAGAAGTTGTGTAGGTAATTATATGTTCTTTGAAAAAAAAATACACCAAAAGATACATAAAAATAATCACAGACAAACACACATTAAACTCACAAATTGTTCATCGAACAAGCATTTAACGGTCAATTAAAAAGTATCGTAGTTGGTAGTACCACCACCTGTGGCGCAGTCAATTCCCTTGCGTTTGACGTTTACACAGTACCGCAATTTGTTCAGTGTACTGCCCACCACAGTGTACCTCACAGATGACGGTAATGTTTTAGCGACGATGTTTGATTGTAATGTAATGTTTTAACGACGATGTTGATTATGTTCAATGTGTTATATTTGTTTGTCTGTTATAAAACGTTGATTGTCTCGGAGGTACCTGTCAAAAATAAGCTTATAAGGTAGTGAAATTACTAATTTCTCTCTCTCTCTCTCTCTCTCTCTCTCTCTCTCTCTCTCTCTCTCTCTCTCTCTCTCTCTCTCTCTCTCTCTCTCTCTCTCTCTCTCTCTCTTTTCTTTTTTTAGACGTAAGAGAAACAAACCCTCTATTTCCGTTTGTTACTAGGATAAAGTTGTGTTAATTTTACCTGCTAACACTCTTTATCAACTTTTAGGACGTTACTTCAGCTTTTTTCCAAAAAATATTACGAAAATTGAAGAAGGGGTCCTTACACAACATCAACGTTCTGCTGTTTTTTTTATGTGAATTTACAGGTGTTATTTCTTTTCAGTCTATTTTTTCACAAAGAACATAAAATTACCTACAACTTCTTCTCACATGAAAAATAACATCCATACGCAGTTTAAAAAAAAATACTCTTGAGAAATATTATCATACAGAAATGGAAATTACAACTCTGGATAGTAACCAACATATAGGCAAACTTTCACTCAAGTTGCAAACAATCATTGCAATCTGTTTGCTATTTGGTGTTGAAATTCTCTATAAGCTGTTATCAGCTCGATTATTAGCTTATAAACGAATAAACCGAACTTTTGCAGCAACCACTGAAGGGGAGAGTTTTTGCAACCACTTGCAATCTGTTTAGATTTGACCCATTGAAGTTCAACGTTTTGAACCATGGTGACCTTCGGATAGCCAGCATTCACATCAGAGAGTACGATAAACTATTTGTAAGTGTATAAACAACCCCTAAAAATTGGTTTGATCAAACCATCAAGAAACTATTTCAGCTCAACTACCAGACTTCGTTTTACGGAACGCCCTCGTTCGACCTGCTTTACTTCCTGACCATGTCAGCTTCATTCAGTACTCGAATAGACAAGTTTGATCATCTGATCGACCACTACTACATGCATCTGAAGGCAGCATTGCAAAAACTAGGGACGAAGACAGGCATACCGACCCAGCGGCAGCTACGGGATGACATCACGGCTCACGGATTCCTGATGTGCCTCAAATCGATTGAAACGTTGGCCATATCACTGAGGATGCCCAAGCTGGAGATAGATATGAAATTGCTACGTTCCACCGGGCCGGATGGGAACGAATTCCGGCGGAATCTTTATGCGAATGTGCAGTTTGAGAAAACGTTGGAAAGGTTTGTAATGTTCATGTGGAAAAAAGATTTTTTGTCAGTTTCATGAACTTAAGCTACATTCGATAATGTTGTAGCCGGGCTGTGGAGTTGACTATAAATAATATGACTCCTCGACTCCAACTCGATTCCTCAGTTAATAAAAGATTTGACTCCGCCTCCGACTCAAATAAAATTCAATACGAACTTTGATCAAAGAATTCAGTTTTATTTAAATGTATTGTCGTAATCGCCCATTTCCGTTCTATCGAGCAAGAAACATCAATAATATCAATGATTTCACCGTGCACAAATCAATAATAGGTTTGTTCCTATGCGTTAGTTCATTAGCTACAACATAAATCCTGTTAGAGCGCATTGTATGATTATTTACGCTCATTGTTTTTAAAAACAAAAAAAATGCTCCTAGCGAACCCCCTTTTTCTACGTTTATCCGTAGGACGAAGAAAATCTAATGGCGTTTCAATGTGTTTGGACGGAATTGAAACTCGTAGAACGAATTTAGAATCAAGAAGCTGTATTAGATTTTAAACCATATCTCAACGAAGAGTTTTGAGTGGGTTGGTTTATTTCTTTTAAATTCCGTTATAATTGCTTATCTTTTGACAGATATGCGTATTTCGTCTACTAATTGCAGACTTCATCAGTGCCAAGTACTCAACACCACTGAAGAATCCATCTTTTATCTACGAGCTATATACTAATCAATAGGTACTAAAAATCAGCCAAGATTTAGTATTCAGCAGCAGGACAAATCAGCTGAAGTCACTGTTAGGATCAACAAAAGATTCGATAAATGTCTTAGGGAAAGCATAAAGGGATTCCGTTAAGAGGTTTGACAAATTGAAAGAATATCTCAACAATTTGTGACTCTTTATCAAATCCAACGGATACGTATTGAAAGGTGAATAAATTTAAAAGTCATCTCTGACAGAAATTTTCTTTTTTTTTTTTTAATCTCGTTCATAAAGGACGTAAATTAGATCAAAACCCCTATCACGGCTTGCTATTTCCAGCCCTGCACTTTGGCCAGAGTGCGTATAGGGCATCGTTGTGCCGATTTGGTCGTGGTACATTTCGAGTATGAGAGAGAACTTTCAGTTAGATCAAAAGTGCATGAGAAAACTGTAAGTTTTTTCGCGGATAACCCGAAGTTGCGATAGTGAAGATATTATCACAAACAATCAGACATAAAACTCTTAAAATGTTCATCGAAATTGCTTTTAACGGTCAATATAAATGTTTCTTAGTTGGTAGTACCGCCATCTGTGGCATAATCATTTCCCTTGCGTATGAAGTTTACACACTAAAGCCATCTGTTGAGTGTTCCGCCCATCACAGTGTATACGACAGATTTCCGTAGTGTTTTGGCGACGATGTTTTACAATGATAAATGTTCAATGTGTTGTGTCTGTTTGTCTGTGATATCATATTAAGGTAACGTTAGGGTGAAATCAAAACATTGAGAAATATATAGCATTGCTTTCAGAAACACTTCACTTCGTAACCGATTAACAATTCTGACGGGCCTATGAGTACCCAAGTAACCATATAGTCGCAATATAGCTTTATATATACTTGCTTTGCTTGAGTAAGGTTAGTTGGGGAATCCGATGAAACTATCACTTCTTGAAACTAATCCTTTTCGTATTTCTTTCATTCTCTTTTCGCACTTTGCATATAACATCATGTCATACTAATCTCTACATTGATTTGTTTACTCATTCCGAGTACTCGGTGGACCAGCGGCTTTAGTCGCTAGGCTCTTCCCAGATGATCATGGCATTGCAAGAAAATTTGTTTTCGTTGAAGGAAGTATCACAGCACAGGTAATTGCTATTATATATTTTTGCAGACAGTGACAGATGGTGGACATGAGACCGACCACACCAACCAGCGAGGGAGGAGTCAACCTCAAACCGGGAACCGAATTAGTGCGGATTTATCTCCCTCGGAAAACAAGACAAACCCGGAAAGGCGGATTCATGTCAGAATCGACCAAGGAAAATCAATCTACGGAAAGAAATTGCCAATGAAATACGGAGCGTTAGAGAAAAAGTATTAGGGATTCCTAAGGAAACAATCAATGGTGGCAGACCAGCGCATTTATTTTATCAATTCAAAACTCCCAACTTCACCGTAAATATGAAACTGCATATTTTTATCACTGGTACGTGTATTCGTTGCAAATATCTCTTGGGATTGAACCCAGACCCATCGGGGTGTTAGAAAGTAGTCACGCTTACCACTACACCACCGGCGCCGGCCTAGATCTGCAGTAGATCAATCACATTGTAACTCCCGGGCTGAACAATTATGCGAAATGTGAGAGCGTGTTAGTGAAAATCCAAGGAAAATGCATAACAAATCGCTGTCAAACTCATTTTGACAGATATAATCCCGTACATTTTCTAGGTTAGCCAGAGTAAAATAATAAACAACTTTTCACTGCGATGCTCCCGCTACTGTGCGTGCACAGTTCGAAAAAGTAGTGTAAATTCCTGTTCAATATGATGCACAAAATTGGAGCGTCACATATCATATACGCTTACATTATATATCATGTAAAGTTCTGAGAAATTTCATGCAATGTAGCAAATATTGTATACAAAAGCCCATTGTTGTTTAAAAGTTTCTCGGTTGCGTGAAATGAAATACAAGTTTATGTGAATGAATGTTTACATCACTATTAAAATTCAGAATTTTTATCTGTGTGTATTAAACGTCACTAATATCTATTATGAGAAAAACTAATATACGTAAATACGTGACGGTTTTCAACGATAGTGTCGTAAGACAGAGGCTGACATATGACATTTTAGTTCGGTTATGTATTTTTTTCCGTCGAGCTTGTTTTCCGTGCTGAGCACCAATACTTCTGACGCCAGGGAGGCAGCTTTCACACCTGGACCCTACATCGACCCATCAACTCATGAACCGGGGATAAACGGCTTTACTTTCCTTACGTGATCAGAGATGTTATGCCTCAGAACATCCCGGCGGTGCCGACTGAGATTAAACCCAGGCCTGCTGGGGTGAGAGGTAATCACGCTTACTACTAAACCACCGGCGTCGCTGATCTTAATGGTAAAAAATATTTTCAGTGTCTATGACAATTAGTTCTAGCCTCACTCTTTTTAAATTTAACATGACATCACCAAAATCGTACCAAAAACTTTTAAATTTGATCCATTTACCACCATTATTTTTTTCTTATTACATTTTACATACATATACTCAAAATACCGTGTGTTGTCCCTTTGCTCAACACTGCAAAGGATGACCCAGTATCAATTTCCATTTTAATAAGCCTGCCTTAAATAGAAACTTCAAGAAGATAACGTTTACCAACTCCACTAATTGACTTAATTATCATGCAAGGGTAGTTAATCACCTGATACTACGTCACTATCGTTATCCATCCGTAATCTCTTAAAATACTAATGTGAATCCTCCACATTAGCAGCACAACTAGCAGTATCACCTACATCGACATACACGAATAAATCAAATTCATAACATAATGAGAGCATACCAAAAAATTATGAATTTTAATGGTGATGTAAATATCCATGCATGCTAAAATTGAAGCATGTAAACTTCCTTTAAACGTAAACTAGCAACTTGCAAGAAATATTGCTTACAAAGATGGATGGTTGCATACAATATTTAGAATATTTCATTAAATGACTCATAAATTTACACGCGTTGTTTGATTTTATGAGCGGTCGTGTATATTTTCTCTCTCTTTTCTCTGTGTTTGGGAGCAGAAGCGTTCGATACCTGCGTCGGAGGTGCTGGGTTTTTTAATCTTTCTATGATGGTATTGGTGATCAGATGTACTCTAAGCCCTGGAGGGTCAGCGCATTCTGCTGCGAATCCTGCAGATGCATGGAACAGCTTCGAACATATGGAAAGACAGGAATATTGATCTTTCCTTTTGTATTTATTTAATTGTATTTCCAATTTCACATAATCTTTACTTTATATTGCCGAATAGAGATTCCTAAATATATTCCACTCCATATTAACACAAATGTTACCTCCCGAGACGTTTATGAAGGTAGTATGCTGCCCATAATCGCATATCAGTCCCATATGGATAGGAAATCAAGCAAAGATGGTTCTGATATACGATTATGGGTAGTATGGGTTCCCTGCACCTTCTTCTGCGATTGTAAGGATATGGCCAGATATATAATGTGATGCTTGTTTTGAAAATTTTGTCGTACTGGAAAAATCACTAATCCCAAGTGTGTTTCACGGCAACACACGATATTTTCTGCAAAATAATTTGGTTGACCGTTATATAGCCCCCACGATTTATGCAATCGCATATGCTATTTTATACTATCCCTAATAAAAAAATAACTATAAACGAACGATAACCCAAATAATAAAACTATGCCACAAATGGTTTGGATAATACCCAGAATACATCATTGAGCAAAATAACCATAACAATTTTATTAGGTATGTTTTAACCTTTTAGCGGGTGCGCTAGTGTACTGAGTACACGCGTTTTGTAAAAATTCAAAAAGATCATGGAAATATAATTCATATTGGTCCGGGTTTTGATTGTGTTCGAAGATCTACTCTTCTTCTTTCTAGTAGTGAAAGTTGTAGAAAATCGCTTGCTTCATAGCATGGATTTGCACGTGTACTCAGTACACACGATGAGACTCGCTTAAGGTCCGTTTAGACTATCTGATTTCTTGGTCTGATTTTGACCGCCGTCATAATGAAAAATCTGCTCTATTTTACTTTCGACACACTTTGTCGAACCCCCCTGTTTGCTGGTGTTTACACTGCTTGCAAATGTCGAAAGAACTGTGAAATTAGATTTCAAAACAAAACTGTACCAGGAATCAAAAATAAATACATCCATTCATTGAAAAACAGGACACGATTTTGCGTTCACGAAGCTATTTCCGTCAAAACATTTTTAATAACGAAACTGCATTTTACTTACTACTAGTTGAGAATAATGCAATCCATTTGGCAGGGATCTTCAGAAAACTCAAGACAAGCACATTCGAGTATCTCCCC